GGCAGACAGTCACACACAAACAAACAGGCAGACAGTCACACACAGGCAGACAGTCACACACACAGACAGTCACACACACATACAGGCAGACAGTCACACACACAGGCAGACAGACACACAGGCAGTCAAACACATACACACTGACCTGCTTCTTCCCTCCTGCTTGGAGCTCCTGGAGACTGGTTGTTGGGGAAGCAGGGACTCCTTCCTGCTTTCCAGGCTGCAATTACCAGGACCCCTGTCTGCCGCTTAGCTCCGCCCCTGCCTTCAGCTTAGCCCCGCCCCACCTGCCGCTTAACCCCGCCCCATCTTCCGGTAAGCTCCGCCCCCGCTGCCGTATTTTTTTTCTTTTTAAATCCAGGACGGCTATGTGCGAGCTGCTCCCATGGGACCCTGTGCGGCCGCACTGCTCAGGCCGGCCGGGATTACAGGAGCCTGGCCAGTGATGAACAGAGCTGTCATCCCAGCCCCAGGTGCCGCGGCCCACCGGGAAATTTCCCGGTATCCCGGTGGGCCAGTCCGGCCCTGCTCACCACGAGCACTTCAGATAATTCAAGGTTCACTCAATCTTGGATCTCCAAGAAGTTGATGCTCTGCTGCGTCCACTCAGACTGACAACAGAATTGTTGCCGACCTCTGATACCTTGGAGCTGTCCATAGCAACACCCAGTGAAGATTGTTCCTTTCGTCCAACAGGGAGCACGGCCTACTACATACGTGGCTGCCACTACTTGAACCGACGGACTTCCGTATCAATGATCGGTTGAGCGGTTTGAAGTTGTTTTCAATTTTATTTTGGAATCCTTACTTTAAGTCGTCCACTGGACTTTCACCTGCTTTTCTTTTCCTCAGAATATCTAAGACACATGCAAAGGCTCATACCTCGACCCTCTCGGCCTAACATCAATTGCCTCATTCATTGAGCATATACCTGCAGTTCGAAGTTAAATATGTTTTCACTCTATTTTGACAAACCTCTTTTTTATGTGTGATTTTCTGTACCAACACAAATGACAGACCAAGCCCTACTGACATACAATAGTACTACTCCTCCCCCACCTAATAGACTACTAGACTAGGCTTGACAAACCCCTGGACAACAAGAGATCCTGGAGGTGCACCAAAACATCAGGCATAGCGCACCAGGCTACCTATGCAGCCTCGACATTGGCATAGGGTTGACATCTCACTTAAGACGCACACTCGACCTCAACAAAAGGGGCCCAAGCTATTGCTAATCTCTAATCAGCTGTCTTTATTATCGTAACTCGAAGGTTACACACAACAGACCTCCTTTGACCAAACGCCAACTATAACCCCTTGACACAGACCAAGCTACTCAAAAATAAAAACCCCTCCTCACAAGCAACGTCCACTCATGACAGAATGCACTGTAACACGTATGCTACAATATTTATATTGAAATATATGTCTATATTGTTTTTGATTATAACAACCTACTCATGCTTTTGAGCAGGGTAAAAATAAAGAATAAAAAAAAAAACCATGTATATCACTTTGTAATTACCTTTTAAAATATACAGTATCTCACAAAAGTGAGTACACCACTCACATTTTTGTAAATATTTTATTATATATTTTCATGTAATAACACTGAAGAAATGACACTCTACTACAATGTAAAGTAGTAAGTGTACAGCCTGTGTAACAGTGTAAATTTGCTGTCCCCTCAAAATAACTCAACACACAGCCATTAATATCTAAACCGTTGGCAACAAAAGTGAGTATACTCGTTAGTGGAAATGTTCTTCCTCTTCTTATTTTCTGGGTGCTAATTTTCTAAATAGTACATTTGCGGACTGCACTTCATATCTGAAAGTCAAATAGAAGCGTCTAATAGTGTGTTTACAGCGCAGTGGTAAACATGCTTATTTTCTGGTTGCTAATCTGCTAAATAGTACATTTACGGCCTGCGGTGCTCTTTATATGTGAGAGTCAAATAGAAGCGTCTAATAGTGTGCTTACGGCGCAGTGGTAAACATTCTTATTTTCTAGGTGCTAATCTGCTAAACAGTACATTTGCGGCCTGCACTTCATATGTGAGAGTCAAATAGAAGCGTCAAATAGTGCGCTTACTGCGCAGTTGTAAACATTTTAATTGTTTTGCTGCTAATCTGCTGCTTACATTGGAGTTTTAAAAAGTCAATATTTTTTTTTTGGTGCTAAATAGTATATTTGGGGTGTGCACTTCATATTTGAGAGTCAAATAGAAGCGTCTAATAGTGTGCTTACAGCGCAGTGGTAAACATTCTTATTTTCTGGGTGCTAATCTGCTAAATAATACATTTTGGGGCCTGCTCTTCATATCTACAAGTCATGCTACAACAAAATTAAACAAGTTTTACTGGTTTCATTCATGACTACACACTCTAGTGAACAGGACCTTCATGTAGTGTGTTCTTTTTTTTAAATCATACAGCATCCTTTCATGTGCTTTTCAGATGTCATATTGTGAATTACCAATTTTTGTGTAGCCTGATTTTTTTTTTTTAAAGTGAAAAATAAGTGTTATTGTGATCGCTTCATATACAGAAGCATTAATATACATTTCTATATTGTGTAAAGACACAACTACAAAGTTAAAAACCAAACACCAAAACAACATGCCAGACAATCTACCTGTGCATGGCTAGTGTGAAACAATAAGTCTACATCTTAAAAATGCAATAACCCACAGAAGATGGGCGAGATTTTTTTTTGCAAATGGAACTTTGATTCGAATTTACTACATCGGTCACTTGTAATATTGTTTCACACCTACAACACTTGTTACACAGATCTAAGTGATAGAAAACAGATTGATATTTTCTTTACTAGAAACTACCAGATAACAAGCTGCAATACTTAAACCAGTTATCAATAGCTAAGAGGTACTTAAACAATATTGTAATTCTGGGGCAATACCCTCACAAGTCAAACTGAGAGGTCAGTTTATAGGGAAAACTGTTGCCTGGATACAAATCTAAAACAATTTCCATATGTCCTTTGCAGACTTTACATGCTGGAAAAACACAGGTGCCAACTGCTGTGGCTTCCTGCAGTGTGCATACCGGCAAGGTTGAGGAGTGGGTGGAAGATGATGTGGAGGATGATGAGGTCCTAGACCCCACATGGAATCAAGGTCATGCGAGTGACGTGTGCAGTTTGGAGGAAGAGGCGCTGGTCGCACAGAGGCACCACCACAGCATAAAAGGGAGCAGGGTGCAAAAGCGGAGCTGCCATCCCCAAACGCTCGTCAGCATGTATTAGCTCGAGAATTACCAGTTATCCAAGTAATACATGTAGCAATCAAAGGATCTATAAAAGAGTTGAGCTAACCCGAAATTCAAGTTCCTACCAGATTTAACAACCCATTCGTAGTTTCACAGTCAGGTGGGCAGTCCGGTGACCAGGACCCAGACACTGTCTGGGTGGCGGTCAGACGACCAGGATCCAGTATGCCTGATGTTGAAGTTAGGAGTCACTGTGTGGAATGGAGGAGTCACAGGGTGAAATGGATTAGCAGGGTCTGGTGCAGGGTAACCGCACGCCCCCTGGTGTTGAGTGTAGCGTGGAGATGATTTCCCACAGCTTAACTCCACCAAGTACTTTCAAAGGATGCAGGAACAAGTAATAAATCCCATAGAATCTTCAGCACAATCAGCAATACAATCCAATAATATCCCATCACTTTCCCCAATCACTGGACGACACACAGTATCAGGAGTAGAACTAACTTTTAATGGCAACATTCCTGCTTTTATGAGATTCTCCCATGCAAGGGAGGGATTCTCCACAATTAGCATTTTACCCAATAACAGCGACGTTACTTCCCACACATTTCCTCCCCTTAGATTAGCCTTCAATCCAATTATATACAGCACATTTTCCCCCACTTTTCAAATGTACCTCAAATAGGTGGAATATGCCCTTAAATATGGTACCCCCTGGTAGCCCTGATCTGGGTGAGAAACATATCCAAAAATCACCCAGATCAGACCAGGGGTTCGGGAGTTATGGGGAGGTAAGGTTTTGACCAACCGCCTGGGCAAAGCAGCTGAAAATAGTTCCATGAAATCTGGCCCTGCGGTCGGTCTCCATTCGTGCCCCAAAAGTCCCGAATTGCTATGGCATCCATAATGCATTCGGTAACCGGATGAATCCCCTCGTTCGTGGGATTCATCCTACCGAACGCCGGGCCGTTCATGGGTTTCCATCCGTGCCTTCTGAAGCCCTGGAGGTCTTAGCGGTGTTCGCCTAGTCGAGTGTCCGTTTTCAGTTCCAGACACTCGACAGCCAAACATCTCTGTTCGCGGATTTAAGATGGCGGCCGCCACGTGTTCTGCTGCCGAAATGGCGGCGGGCTCGTGCGTACAAGGGAATGAAATGCAAGCAGGGAGGTAAATAGATCCATTATACACATCAGGGTGGTCGAGTTCATTCGGTACTTTGTTCTTATGGGGAATTTTGGTGGTTCACATGTCAGCTGTTATTCCCATACCGAACGAAGTATGTCCATAACTAGTCACTTAGAGTTTTGGGTACTTTAGGCACAGGAAAATCTCTGCAGGGCCAACAATTAATAAAAATGAATAGGACAGCCAAAAAAGGGGTTCCGCTACATTGAGCACCAGCGTTTGTGCGGCCACATACCAGGACCCTGATGCAGCTTCAGTAAAAAGAGTACTGGATACCAGAAGCCATCACCAGACTGATCCGCAACTTGGAACAGGATGTGACATTCACTGTAGCGGCTGTGCACGCTTTTGGCGTTCTCACCCTGCTGCTGCTCGCCTGTCTGCGCTGCAGCGTAACTTAGGCCTTCCCGTCTCATAAGACTGTGCGAGCAGCAGCAGGCGATAGTGGAATTTCAGCTGCAGCACGCACGGGTCAGTGGCTCTGCACCAGACTTCCCTCCAATTGATCAGAGTTAAAGGATTTCAAGTGGACTCATTACAATTACAGGGCCTCTAAAGAGTCCTGTATTGTTATTTGTAGACACTACCTTCACTCGTCGGGAGTGGGTCATTTGCACCCCTGCTGCCTTCCTTGCATGTGGTAGCCGTTTCTCAGGGTCCCTGTACGGGAATGGAACCCTGATTCCCCGTTACCCGTGGTCACCATGGTAGACGCAGAAACTAGCGTCAAAAGTTGATATGGATGACATTCAAATGCAAAGTCACCGTCACGGGGATGTGCGATTGGCCCGAGGTTCTCTAGAGTCAACAAAGTGCCTGCTCAACTATAATATCAACAGCTACTCTGCGGAACAGAGTTGTCTTTTTTATATGTCCCAATATTTTGGGGGCTTCCCCAATTAAAAAATAAATAAATATACATATATATAAAAACAGTGTTGGCTACCTCATCCTCCTCCTCCACTGCTGCTTCCACCTACACCGCCACGGTCACCGCCTCCTCAACCTATGGGTCACTTAGTATAAACTATGTACACATTAGCAGAGGCTTGTAAAGGCCTTTTCTCCATGCATCAGGAGTTGAGCATTTCTCCATGCATCAGGACTGCAAGAAATTCACAGCAGGCTGCAAATGTTTCTTTTTTTGTATGCCCCAATATTTTGTGGGCTACCATAATTAAAAAAAACAAAAACATAAAAAACAGTGTTGGCTACCTCATCCTCCTCCTCCACCGCTGCTTCCACCTGCACCGCCACGGTCACCGCCTCCTCAACTTATGGGTCACTTAGTATAAACTATGCACACAATAGCAGATGCTTGTGAAGGCCTTTTCTCCATGCTTCAGGAGTTGAGCTCAGTTTGAACAATGAAAGAGAATACCCTGCACTCCAACCCTCTCTTAAATGGATAATTATTTTGATCCTCCTGACAGCCATGCTTTAGATTTTGATTTATGTTCTTCCAAAGCTAAAATCAAAGATTCCATCTAGTGCTATTTTATGGCTCAGCTGTATTTTTTATTTTTATGTTATTTTAAGTGATTTCCCTATCCACATTTGTTTGCAGGGCACTTGTCCTACTCTTACCCCCATTTTACTTCCTTTTGCAGCTCTCTAGCCCTTTCCAGGAGTTTTTTAGAGGCATTTTTGTGGCCAAAAGTTCGGGTCCCCATTGACTTCAATGGAGTTCGGGGTCAAGTTCGAGCCCGAACTTGACGGTCTTTTTTTCCAAAGTTTGGCCGAACCCGCCAGACCCAAACATCCAGGTGTCCGCTCAATTCTAGTTGTGGTAGTTTTTCTTCTTTTAAAAATAGTCTCCTCCTTTACTGCGTTGGTTCCCTTATGAATTTAAATGTTTGTCATATTCCCCCATCTCGGCTTTCCTCCAAGCTATACATGTTAAGATCCTTTAACCTTTCCTGATACGTTTTATCCTGCAATTCATGAACCAGCTTAGTATCCCTTCTCTAAACTCTTTCTAGAGTATCAATATCCTTCTGAAGATACGGTCTCCAGTACTGCGTACAATACTGCAGAGATAAGCAAGCTCAGAAGAGCTACTATAGCTGCCCGCGGGATGTGGCCATGCCCAGAAAGTAGTTAGCCCAAGACACTAACGGCAATGGCGGAGGTTCAACTGTGCAGCCGGAGCAGAATGTGGGCTGGTAGAGAGAGCTGAGAACCAGCTGAGAACCAGTAGGTTGTCGAAGATTGAGATCAAGTTTTCTTAGCCACGCTACAAAGATACAACAAAAGTTAAACCGCTAGTAGGAGCGAAGCAGATAGATACGGAGGAGTTATCTAGGATGGACCACGTTGTGAGATATTTTGCTGTGCATCCTACAAAAGAGTCCTCGACAGAGAGAGTGGAAGAGTTCTCCCGAGATATCCCCTGAAGACAACAACTAGTATCTGCACGGAGGATGTCAGTGATACTTGAGGGTTTGGCAAGAGCAGCCATCCAACTTGGATAGGTCCAGAGGCATCCTGTTGCAGAACCATTTGTGGGTGAGATCTTTCTGTATACCGGGGGAGAAGGGGAATAAGGCAGTAACCGATAAAAGCCTGTATAGAAGCCCCTGGGAGTCATTAATATTGGGTCCATTAAAGGACCACTCTAGGCACCCAGACCACTTCAGCTTAATGAAGTGGTCTGGGTGCCTGGTCCAGCTAGGGTTAACCCATTTTTTTTCAGAGAAACTGCTATGTTTATGAATGGGTTAAGCCTTCCCCCATTCCCTCTAGCGGCTGTCTCACTGACAGCCGCTAGAGGCGCTTGCGTGCTTCTCACTGTGATTTTCACAGTTAGAGCACGCAAGCGTCCATAGGAAAGCATTGATAATGCTTTCCTATGCGACCGGCTGAATGCGAGCGTGGCTCTTGCCGCGCGTGCGCATTCAGCCGATGGGGAGGAGAGAAGGAGGATCGGAGGAGGAGAGCTCCCCGCCCAGCGCTGGAAAAAGGTAAGTTTTTACCCCTTTCCCCCTTCCAGAGCCGGGCGGGAGAGGGTCCCTAAGGGTGGGGCACCCTTAGGGCACTATAGTGCCAGGAAAACGAGTATGTTTTCCTGGCACTATAGTGGTCCTTTAAATCTCTGGAGCTCCTTGATTTTATTTGAGCCAGTAGAGAGGCTCTTTACAGCAATATGTGGCACAGACAAATTAGCTAATTATTTGGAGGAACAATGTAATAAATTGCTGCAATACAGAAATGGGATACCCCTTATTAAGGACTTTTAGCAACTGTAATGTTGCAATGGCCTGAGTATAACATACCTCTCATAGAAGAAGCTGGCAGGACATTTGCAAATTGGACATTGTTCGCAATCAGGAATAGCACTCTCAAGCCAAATTGGGACATATTTAAAAATGCCGGAGTAACTGAATAAGTCACATATATCAGAAAGTAACAAGACAATCCTTAGGTTAACAAGGTTCTATAATGTGGATTTTGCAGTAGTGGATGGATAGTATAGTATAAGAAGCTTATAGAATTTGCTCAGTTTCTGTTTAGTAGAAGAAGGGAAAAAATATATAAAGAAAAATAAATTATATTGAATAATGTTCACTAAGATGTTACCTATATCCTCGATTGAGGGAATAACTCTTTAGAGCAGTAGTTGATGTAAATAACATTGATCAAATTTAGGCGAGTCAACTGAGATTAGTTTGATAGATCATAGCTTGATACTAATACAAAATCTGTCTGCTAATATTTGATATATAAGGGAGTAACAAGTAAATTAAGGGCAATTTACCTATCATAGAATATTCGATGGTTACAATATTTTAATTGAAGGCTGTTGAGATATAATATAAAGTTAATTCTTTGACCTTATTGTAGGAACAATTGCTCTTATTTTTTTGCTAGTTAATCTGTCTAAAATATAACATAGACTTTATGCAGAGTCCGGCATAAAATGAGATAGTTCTATTTAAAACGTTGTTTCTGTTTAAGTAATATTGAGATGTCTAAACAAACATTGCTATAATTTGGCCAATTCAGTGGACTGTATACTGTTGTGGTTTAAATACTAAATGAGTAATTGTTATAAAAGTCCTGCATTCTATTCATTTTAGTGTCAGCCGTAACTTCTAAGACCAGTCGTCTCAGTGATCCAATGGGGGATAAAAGAGGGGACAAAATGAGAAATAAGGAAAATCAAGTTACTAAAATCAAAGGCAAGGAAAAAAAGAAAGAAAACACAAAAGCATCAAGTAATTTCTTTTCCCCTCTAAATACAGGTGATACTCTAAAAATTAGAATATTGTGCAAAAGTTCATTTATTTCAGTAATGCAACGTAAAAGGGGAAACTAATATATGAGATAGACGCATTACATGCAAAGCAAGATAGTTCAAGCCGTGATTTGTCATAAGTGCGATGATTATGGCTTACAGCTCATGAAAACCCCAAATCCACAATCTCAGTAAATTAGAATATTGTGAAAAGGTGCAATATTCTAGGCTCACAGTGTCCCACTCTAATCAGCTAAGTAAGCAATAACACCTGCAAAGGGTTTCTGAGCCTTTAAATGGTCTCTCAGTCTGGTTCAGTAGGAATCACAATCATGGGGAAGACTGCTGACCTGACAGTTGTGCAGAAAACCATCATTGACACCCTCCATAAGGAGGGAAAGCCTCAAAAGGTAATTGCAAAGGAAGTTGGGTGTTCCCAAAGTGCTGTATCAAAGCACATTAATAGAAAGTTATGTGGAAGGGAAAAGCGTGGAAGAAAAAGGTGCACAAGCAGCAGGGATAACCGCAGCCTGGAGAGGATTGTTAGGAAAAGGTCATTCAAAAGTGTTGGGGACTTTCACAAGGAGTGGACTGAGGCTGGAGTCAGTGCATCAAGAGCCACCACACACAGACGGATCCTGGACATGGGCTTCAGATGTCGTATTCCTCTTGTCAAGCTGCATCTGAACAACAAACAACGTCAGAAGCGCCTTACCTGGGCTATAGAAAAACAGACCTGTTCTGTTGCTCAGTGATTAAAGCAACTTTTGCATCTCATTTGGAAATCAAGGACCCAGAGTCTGGAGGAAGAATGGAGAGGCACACACTGCAATATGCTTGAAATCCAGTGTGAAGTTTCCACAGTCTGTGTTGATTTGGGGGCCATGTCATCGGCTGGTGTTGGTCCACTGTGTTTCATTAAGTCCAGGGTCAACGCAGCCGTCTACCAGGAGATTTTGGAGCACTTTATGCTTCCTTCCGCAGATGAGCTTTATGGGGATGCTGACTTCATTTTCCAGCAGGACTTGGCACCTGCCCACACTGCCAAAAGCACCAAAGCCTGGTTCAATGACCATGGGATTACTGTGCTTGATTGGCCCGCAAACTCGCCTGTTCTGAACCCTATAGAGAATCTATGGGGCACAGCCAAGAGAAAGATGAGAGACATGAGACCGAACAATGAAGAAGAGCTGAAGGCCGCTATTGAAGCATCCTTGTCTTCCATAACACCTCAGCAGTTCCTCAGGCTGATAGCTTCCAAGCCATGAAATGAGGTAGTAATTGCTGCAAAAGGGGCCCAAAGTCCATATGCATGCTTATACTTTTCAGAAGTCCGATATTGTTCTATGTACCCTCCTTGTTTTATTGATTGCATGTAATATTCTAATTTACTGAGTTTGTGGATTTGGGGTTTTCATGAGCTGTAAACCACAATCATCACACTTATGACAAATCACGGCTTGAACTATCTTGCTTTGCATCTAATGCGTCTATCTCATATATTAGTTTCCTCTTTTACGTTGCATTACTGAAATAAATAAACTTTTGCACAATATTCAAATTTTTTGAGTATCACCTGTAAATCAAAAATATTGGATAACTCTAAATTGGCCCTTGAAACACAAAA